AGTATTACTTCAAAATGAAAAGGTTTTTTTTTTTTTTTCACTCCTAAACTTTGTTGTCTTTTTTTTTTTTCAACCCATCAAAGTTAAGCTAGGTGACTGTGTATGCTGAGAAGGGGGAGTAGAGGGGAGAGAGGAGAGAGAGAGAATTCAAATGGGCTTGAATTTAGTTGATTCACTCTTGGAGTTGTGCTGTGGCTCAGTCTGCCTTTCTCTGAGGCCGTACTTGAGATGAAAAACAATCTTCCCCCTTTCAAATTCATCTCCTCTTTGTTCTCCCAATGTTGAAGCTCTGTCTGGGTTGAGGTGTTAGTGATTTGTGTCACAGGGTGTTCCTCTTCTACACCTGAGGCCAAGAATACCAGCGCTTTCTCTTTCCCTTTGTTTGATATCTGGATTGGTGATAGAGACAGCAAAGCCTGAGGGCTTAGGCTGCTTTCTGAACCCCAGAGGCCACAGATTCTCTTGGCTGCAAACAGGTTTTTGGTTTTTTGTTTTTTCCCTAGTGTGCATGAAACACTGTTGATAAAGCAGTTACTAGCTATTATTTTTCTTAAATAGCTTATTTTATTTATTTATTTGTTTTGGAAAGTGAGTCTAGATGATTTTTTCATTCTCATTCCATGTGGTGGACATTCTGGAAGAGTACACACAGAAACTTTAGTGTACCCGTTTCATAGGAGGAACATACTCCGTAATGTGAATAGGTTTTTTCCCTCCACTTACTTTTTTTTTTTTTTTTAACTTTCCCACACTATTAGTATTTACTTCTCTGTTCCTCACCAACTTCCTTCTTTTTTGGCGGGGTGGGGGTGGTGGTGGAGGTGGGGGATGGGGAGGAAGTTTGTATGTATATATCTGTGAGAGTATGTGTTTGTGTCTTCACTATGGTGAAAGGGAAGGGATCTTGTATAAACTGATGACATGACCACTTCATGGGGTTAAGGGGAAGGTTTTACTGTACATAGAGAGAGAAAATATACAGAGGCATCTGGAAGGGTCCAGGGCAGACAGAGAAAGAATCAGGCAGAGCAAGAGTCAGACAGAGCGTAGCCAGCAGACTGGACATGGCCAGGGCTACCTGCAAGAGACGAGAGTAGCAGAGGCTAGAGAACGCATAGCAGGAGAAGCAGGAAAGGGAAATGAAGAAGGGTGTAAGAAGGATGAAAAGCTGGGGCTGGGAAGCCCGTGAGCTGGAGGGAGTTTGGATCAAGGAGGCAGCGGGCAGCGCTGGCATGCTGTAGTTCCCACTCCACTCCCTCTCCCTTATCGGCATGGTTATCAGGTATCAGACCTGTGGCCTGAGAGAGAAATCAGCAGGAACGGCTAGACGGTGGTGAGACCTCAGGTGGCTGTGAATGCAGGCTCCATTGAGCAGCCCATTTAACTGTGGGGGAGGGGACACAAAAGCTATTTAGACCTTTGGGGGTGGGTAGAGGCTTTCAGGGTGAGTGTACATCACTGGCCAGAGCCAAGGTGCCTGGGATGCCTTATTTGCATGAAGAGGAATTCCAGGTGCTTGTTGTGACCTTATAAGGAGACAGAAAGTTTAACCTGTAACCTGTTTGCTGGGCTACATGACCACTGCAAGGGTGGCAGAGGTGGGGAGGCTACGTGGGCCAGGGTATGCAGGCCCAGAATAGGGAAAGAACTGTCCTACTCCTACCAGTCTCAAGACGAGATTTTTTGGGGTTTGGACATGCCTCCACCTCACTCTTGTTCCAGGCTGGCTCCTTGGTCCACAGGATTTTAGCATGGTCTTTGAAATACTGAAAGGAACCACAAGTATATGTTAACTGGGGAGTCATTTACCTTATCATAGGTATATGTTAGTTGGAGAGCCATAGATGTCTTTTGCCAGAGGAGAGGGGACATGGCGCCTTTTGGTAGACGGGAACTGGCTTCCTAAATTCTCAGAGTGTTTTTGTCTAATCTCTGGAAATCCTCTTGTGGTCCCAGCTGAGCTGAGCCTAGACTCAATTTTGGACACTCAGTGGACCTGCCCTTTTTAGGAGTACCCTTTGGGCCTGAGAAATCTGAAATCCTGGCAGAATCGGGGCTTATAGTAAAAACCAAGGTAAGATATAGAATCCTTTTATTGTTCTTACATGTAAAGACCTGGAATCTTTTAACCAGTCAGAAAGTTCATCTGACCTGATTACAAACTTCATTCTTATGCTTACCTTAGAGCTCTTTCTCCTTTTTCATAGCATGAGCTATAGCAACACACTCAGGCTGGGGAGGGATCAAGCTCCCTTTCTTTCTCCTCACTTTTTTTTCTCCTGACCTCACCCTATCACCCTCAGAGCCTCCAGGAGGATGGTGAAGTTAGGATAAGCCTGCTTGGTCAGTGCTGTTCATGGTCCTTTTGGTCTATACTCAGAGTGCCACCTCTCCCTGTGAACTTAAGGGTTTTTCATCTTTGATTCCCCTGCGTAAGAAGCTTCATCTGCACATCACCTTCACATGAGTTGTGCGCTCTTTGGCTGGCCTCTAGAAAGCATCTGTTTGATGTTATTCCTTGTTTTTTGAGGCATGGTCTTTCTCGTTGACCTTGAGATTACCAGCGGGGCTAGGCCGGCTGATCAGCAAGCCCCACTTATCTTACCTGCCTGGGTCCCTGGGCTATCTAGACTCTGGTTCTTGACACCGAGCAGTGTCAGGTATGGGTTCATCTCATGGAATGGGCCTTAAGTCAAATCAAACATCAGTTGGTTTCTCCCGTAAGGTTTGTGCCACCATTGCTCTAGAATATTTTTCAGGTAGAACACACTGTAGATCTAAGGTTTTATGGTTGGTTTGGTGTTTACTTTTCTCTTTTGGTAGCCTGCATAGTACTTTTCTGTGTCATAGTGTTCTGCCCAGTTCATGAACCCCAAAAGACCAGGAATAAACAGACTCCACTGTAAATACATGAGATTCTTTTTATTGTAAATTACAAGCTGCAGCCGAGCACTCCATGCTCAGGTTAGTTGGGTGATTTAAAGATTCTGGTCCTTCCCAGCATGCCCAAGGCAGGGGCAATTCCTGCCTGGCAAGCATCTATTGGTCAAATGCTACATTTTGAATTGATTGGCTATAGGAAGGTCCCCAGACCATTAATGATCTGGTGTCCCTCCCTAGGGGGATGGGCCAGTTTCCTATCTGTCACTGACACCTTAAGTACCGTTGGGTCTGCTGGATCATATGATCCAAATGGTAGCACAGCCCACACACAAGGCTGGGCCTGTTGAGGAGCCTTCTCCTGTTCCAGGCCCCACACAAACCATGAGCTTCCCAAGTGAGTTGGTAATATGGGCTGTGAGGAGTGTGCTGTGTCTAAAATTCAAATAGGCCCAGGAAACACTGTGCTTCTTTCTGATGGTGGGAGGGGTCAGGTGCAATAACATATCTTTCACCTTAGAAGAAATATCTCTGCGTGCCCCACACCGCTGGACTCCTACAATTTTTGCTAAGGCAGAAGGCCCTTGAATTAGATGTGTTACCAATGAGTTCAAACTGGCTGTTACCCTTACTCACTTAGTCCAGTCAATATGGTGCACACACACAAGACATAGACTTATTTACTTTACCCTGATTTTACATCCTGATTGCAGCTTCCCTTCCTTCCTCTCTTCTCAGTCCCTCTCTCTTCCCTCTCCTCCCCTTATTGTCCCTTTCTCCTCAGAAAAGGGAAGGCCTCCCATTGCCATCAACCTCCTGTGGCATATCAAGTTGAGCAGGGCTAGGCACATCTTCTCCTATTGAGACTAGACCAGACAACCCAGTTAGGGAAAGGGATCTAGAGGCAGGCAACAGAGTGAGCGTCAGCCCCTGCTCCTGACATTAGAGTCCCACATGAAGAACAAGATAAACAACTGTGACATATGTGCAGAGGGCCTAGTTCCCTTCCATGCATGTGCTCTGGTTGGCACATCAGTCTCTGTGGGCCCCTATGGACCTAGACTAGTTAATTTTGTAGGTTTTCTTGTGGTGTTCTTGACCTCTCTGGCTCCTTCCATCCTTTCTTCCCCTCTTTCACAGGATATTTTTTAAAATATACATTTTGTTAAATAAACGGAACAAAATATTTAGTTATTAAGTAAGTACTTAGTAAAAAATTTCCTCTTTAAAACCAGTGTTCAATCTGGGTGTGGTGGTACATGCCTTTAAACCCAGCACTCAGGAGGATAAGGCAGGTGGATCTTTATGAGTTTGAGGCCAGCCTGGTCTACAAAACAAGTTCCAGCAAAGGTAGGCCAGTTATACAGAGAAACCCTGTCTCTAAAACAAACAAACAAAATAAAACAAAACAAAAAACCAAACCAAACCAAACCTAACTTTACCACAAGGTTAAGTTAAATCTCAAGACAAATGAGGAGCTTGTAGACATGTCTGAGACTGTTACAAGTATTAACTACGACCTTAGTGAACTAGAATAACTTTATTGGTGATAATGATAAGAAACCTTAGGTTTTAGACAAGAAATCTTGTGTTTTGGCCTCAGGACTCAAAGAATAGATTGTTTCAATTGGGCAAAACTCATATTTGATCTCGAATTGTAGTCTTTAGGATTTTAGAAAGAGGCAGTGAGTCAGTTCAACAAAAAGATTCCTGCTTGAGGAAACTGTCAGCTATGGGGCTTTAAGGCCACAGTCTCCTTTCTTTTGCTGGGCCACTCACTAGTGCGAATTCGGTCCCTATTACCAGAGTTAATTACTGGGAAGGAAAGGGAGGTGTTATCTTCTCTGTATCAGGAGAGGAAAATGCAGGTGCGGGCCCACTGTCTGCTGTATGGCATTGCTGATGGAGCCTCCCCTAGGTATTAGTCACTGCTTTCCTTGGGTGTCCACGCCACAGTTTAAGTCTCACCCTATCACTTCCCTTTCTGCACGCGGCCTACTCTAAAACTACATTTCCCACAACACCACGCGTCGACCGGGCCTCGCGTGGCCTGTCCGCAAGTTTGCCATTATTCTTATGGGTAACCAAACCCATATTTTGGGAAGAATAGAGCTATTGTCTGCTTTTTAAACGGTGTTCATCTATTATTTTTCCGCCCGTGACTTTCTCTGTTTGAGAAGAGACTCCGAGAAGAGCAATATAGTCAGTCGACTTCTCTGGACACCTTTCTCCGCGAGCCTTGGCTCATGCCAAGGTCCCTGGGGCCTGGGAGTGTCATTGGGGGATGACCGCGGCGTTAGTAGCTGCAGCTGCGACCGCGACCATGGTCTCCGGCAGCAGCGGCCTCGCTGCTGCCCGCCTGCTGTCGCGCACCTTCCTCCGTGAGTCGTGCCAGGGCTCTTCCTCCATGTTTCCGCAGGCCTAGGGCTCCCTGTCCTGGACCCGGGGGTGGCCCCGGGAGGAGCGAGGAGCCACGGGGCCAGACCCTAGTGGCAGCTCTCTGGGTGGAGGAGGCTTTGTCCAGTGGGGCCGCGGATCAGGGCAGGGCGTCTTGCAGACCCGGGAACTTATTCTGGTCCCCGCGGTAATGAGTGGTGGGGTGAGGTGGCGTCTAGGCTGGCCCGTACTTGGAGCCGAAGGTGAAGAGGTCCAGGATGGACTCTGCTAGGAGAGTGAGCGTCCTGGTTGAAGAGGCTGTATCCTGTTACTGAAGGGTCCTGCACTTGGAGTGCAGGCACAGCTTGACCGTTGTGTCGAGTAGTAGTAGGGCCAACGGAAAGGCGGTTATGCACCCGGAGTCAGCACCGCCCTGTAGGCGCGGAGTAGCTTAGGGTTAGCAGGCATTTACTCCTTAGGAGGCTCTGTGAACACTTCCATGTCTGAGGTCTTATCTTCGGGAGTTGCTACTCTTTCAGTAGTGCTGACTCTAGAAAATTATTGCTGCGTCCAAAGTCTCAGATATGTTAGAACACAACGTTGGGACCAGTAACGTCCTGTTTGAAGTCTGGCTAATCCGTTCATATTTGTATAATAGTCCTTTAAAAAATGACTTTTTGACAAGTGTCGTGGCCCACGCTTTTAATCCCAGCTCTTAGGAGGCAGAGGCAGACAGGTGGATATTTTTGAGTTTGAGGCCAGCCTGGTCTACAAAGTGAGTTCCAGGACAGTCAGGCCTGCATAGGGAAACCTGTCTTAAAAACCAAACCAAACCAAACCAGGCCTACGTAGGGGAAACCTGTCTTAAAACCAAACCAAACCAAACCAATAGCACCATATTGCAATGAGTCTGAGAGAGTGTGGTTTGTAAAGCACAGCGTTGACCTGCCTATCACTAACAGGAGAAATGATTGCCAATTAAAGTTGTCAGATATATCCAGATTTAAGAGCTGTTAGCAAGTGATGAGTGGTTTGGTTTCATTGTGCAGAAAAAAATGAGTCAATTTACAACTCATGAATAAATATTCAAGTAACTCTATTCCTTGTTATGTGTTGTTTCTGTTTCTTCTTGCATAAAATAGTAGGTGGGCCTTAATTCCTTTCTTGAATATCCTGAAAATGTTCAAGGATAAGTGTTCATCCAGAAGCTGTTTTTTGCCAAGCCTTTGAGGACAAAGGTCTGACTTGATAACTTTGCCAAATAGGAAAGAGTTGAGCACATTTGGGAAAGTTTTCTGGAGCTCTTCCTTGAGTGATTAAAAGGATACTTGAATGTGTTGTAGATAGAAGGGCAGAAAGAAATTAGCTATGCCAGTGATTACTGTGGTCAGTAGAGTTTAAAAACTAATGTGTTGGTTATGGGCCTAATCTAGCTTAATTGGAATAGTTTGTGGGTTAAGACGTGGGACGCCTGATGTGCACGTCAGCCAGTGGGTTAGGAACATCCAGCAAAGGGTGGCTAACCGGTGTACCGGTGTAAGTAGCTGCTGAGGTGCTCCCTGTAGATCTGTTGTGTAACAGTTTCCTCTGCAATTAAAACATCCCATCCTGCAGGAAGCTTTTAAAAAGGAAAACAAACATCTCTAAATAGGTCCAGGAAGTCTCTAAAACTGACCAGATTCACTAGACCGGTCCCTGTCAGAGTAAGCAATCAAAGCTGAGCCCCTTAGACAGAAAGAAGCCAAGCTGCCAAGAAGACTCTCAGGCCTGACCAGCTGCTTGGAAGAAGCAGAAACAAGCCAAGCTGCTTGGAAGAGATTTAGACCAACCGGGGTACCAGAAAAGGGCACTGCCCAGCCTGTTCAGCTGCCTGCAGACTGTGCAGTGTGCTCCAGGTTCCTAGCTTTGTGGGCTGTCACTCGTGCTCTGGTGGACGTTGGTGATGCAGCTGTCTTTGAGTCATTTCTGCTCAAGTCAGTAACCCCAGTACAACGTATTGGTTCGCTAAGCTGGACTTCGTTGTTATTTGTACTTTGGTCTGTTTTGAGCTCCGTGTGTGGGGTATGTAGATGTGTGTGTTGCATCTCCCCGGGAGAAGTTTTGTCACACAACAAGCACAACAAGGCCTCTTCATGCGGGGATCACAATAGCCTTTGTATATAAAGCTTTGCTTAGGACGGGTTTGGGTGTGCCCCAAGAGTTCACATGCTAGGAGTCTCCAGTGTGCTAACAGGTGAGGTGGTAGAACTTTTAAGAGGAGTAACGGAAGGTGTTTAGATCACCCCAACAGTGTGCCTAGAAGAAGTCCGTCAGGGTTTCTCCTCCTAGAGTGAGTTACCAAGCATGGCTGTCGCGTGGACTTGGCTAGCACCTTGGCATCCTGTTATTTCCCATGTTGCTCTTCTACCATGTGGTAGTACAGGCAAAGCGGTCCTCACCGCAGGCTGGACAGATAAGGCTCAGTTTGTGAGCTGGACAAATGGTTTTCTCTGTAATTAGTTTCTTTGATAATCCAGCTGCAGGTGGGCCAGAACAGTTAGTAAGTTTACATTATTGAATTCATCATAACGTATACCTGGATAAAGGAGACAGTGACATAGTTTTCAGGGTTGACTTGAAGAGTGTTGTCACGAATAGAGTCAGGTCATTGGTTAGGGGTACTGGTCATCAAAGGTTTGAGTCTCACCTGACAGCCATTCTTCGCTATGTATTGCAACATTAATGACACCAGCCATCTTGTAAGTGGTGTAGGTGCTACCTGTAGGAGAAAGGACTGGCTCTGTGGATGTCTGACAAACCTGACTGTGGAAAACAGCTTTCTCAGTACCTGGTCCCTTCGTTTGGCATCTTACTTATTTCAGTCTATCCTTTTGTAGCTCTGAGCTTCTTTGCTAAACATTTGGTTCTGTTATAGAGTCAGGAGGCTTCTGTGCGAAGGATCCAAGTCTTGTCTTAAGCTCTCATGGCCTCTAGCACCTGGTGGATAGCTGCCACACTGACTTCTTACAGAAGTTTGCTGTGCTCAGTCTGCAGCAGTGATCATAAGGATAGCAAGAGGAGATGAGGGATGCCGCACATACTGTACCGGAGCCGTTTTACATGCTGTATGCAAACTTACTTAATCGCACATTAGCGGGTGAGGCACATGCTTATCTGTATTTTTACAGTGAGATTACCCCACACGAATGTTTGTCTATGTAGTGAATGCCACATAGTACACAGTGTAGCAGGAGGTTAGTTTATTCGTGTATAGTAGAATGTACGCAAGGACAGACCAGTGAGAGGGCTCAGTGGGTAAAAGCACTTACACACAAGTCACACGACCTCAGTCCCATCCGTGGAACCCATATGAAGGCTTAAGGAGAGAGCTGACCCTACAGTGTTATTCTCTGACCTCCCATGCTGGTCCATCCATCCACCCTTCTCTCTCTCTCTCTCTCTCTCTCTCTCTCTCTCTGAATGTTGGACTTGCTTGATTGTGAAGTGTGAACTTTCTATTTTCTAAAAGGGCAGTGGTCCTCAACTGTCCTAATGCTGCAAACCCTTAACGCAGTTTTTCGGGTTGTGGTGACCCCAACTGTAAAATTATTTTCATTGCTATTTCATAACTAATTTTGCTACTTTTGTGAATCATAATGTAAATACCTGTGTTTTCTGATGGTTTTAGGTGACCCTTGTGAAATGGTCGTTCAATCCACAAAGAGGTCCTGACCCACAGGTTGAGAACCACTGCTTTAGGGGAAGAAATATCTTTGTGCTTATAGAGGATTTCAGGAATGTACCAGGCAATTTGATGCCTAATCCACAGGCATCATCTTAATACCATTCACTCACTGTGAGCAGCTGTTAGCCCATTTACAGACAGAAAGACTAAGGTTAAGAAGATCAAAGCAATGCCCTGGCTTGTATTGCTGGAGACCAGCAGACCATAAACACTAGCTCAGGCCTGTCTGGCTTCTGAGAGTGATCTCAGCTGCTTCTGGGAACAGTACCAAGGCTATGTTGGCCAAGCCTGTGGAGGTGGCCCATAGCTCTCACCATCAGCATATTCTTGGTGGCCGTCTTTAGGCTGTTCTCCTGGCCTGCAGTTTAATTTAGTGTGTTCGTTTTCTCTGTGTCGGTAAAGTTCAGTCTCTCATTGCTCTATCATCGTCATCTGCTGTGGTTCTTGTTTATGGCCTTTCTCAGTGTGTCTGCGATCTGAGTAACATCCCTGGGCTCTGCTGCACAGTGCAGTGGGGTCAGCCTCATGGGCCTGGAAGCCCTGTCATGATGTCTCTTGGCTGTTCCCTGTGCCAGCTGCAGAGTGCCCCCACAGCCCTTGCTCAGCATAGTCTGGTTCAGGAGTGCGGCTGTCTGTTACATGCAAACACTTTCCCAGAGGATCAGGCTAAAGCTGGTCCGTGCTTCTTCAGTGGTGGGTGGCACCTGAGGTCTGAAGACCAGGAAGTGTAAAAGTGTGCAGGGTAGGCGCTGAGAAATACACGCGGAGAAAGCTTTGTTCTGGAGCCAACTTTCATGGGCTCCTCTGATGTAGGTAGAAGGCCTTGCTGCTTTGAAGAGGCCAGGATGGGCCATAGAGAAGACAGCGTAAGTGGCTCTGTGGAGGTTTAGAAGGCGCTGCATTGTTGTGAGGCATGCATGGTTCTTTGCTCTGGCTGTTGACGTAGGAGTTGGGTGTTGTAGCTACTTAGATTTCTCAGTCTTCCTTGAGATGGGTTGCCAGAAATGACTTAGGAATGTGACTTTTTATTTGTTCATTTTCATATTTCTCTTATCTACTTTGGAGCTCACTTTATTTTCTCTGTTTTATATGTGAGTTTTGAATCCTGCATCAGAAGGGCTCAAAGTAAGTCAGATTTATTCCAGGACTTAGAATTCTCTGCATTGCTCTAACTGAGGAATAAACTACAGAGTAACTCTCACATTCCCAAAGTGTGCCTCATAGCTCACCTGTGTTCACAGGGGTTCACACTGGAGTGAGGTGCTGCTCATAGCAAACTTAGAAGGAATGATTTCAGATCCTTAAATTTGATTCCCAGGTTCCTTTGTGGGGAATGAAAACTACAAATTTCAGCTTTTCTTTCTCAGTTCAGAAAGTGCTAGAAGACTGTGCTTCTCGGTAGCGAAGGGGGTGCTGGGAAGAGAGCAGGCCCCTTTGTTTTTTTCTGGTTTGTGCCCGCGGTGCATGATGCACCTGTCGATTTAAAAAGTAGTATTAAGTTGGTTCATTACAGCCTTGCTTTTACATTAGAAGATTTTTTCTTTAAAAAAAATGAGTTACTAAATTCAAATCATGCTTCAGCAGTGTGGGGAAATTATAATATGTCATATTTTCTTTACTTCTCAGTGCAACAGAATGGGATACGACACGGGTCTTATACGGCTTCCCGGAAAAATATCTATATTGATAAAAATACGAAGGTTATTTGCCAGGGCTTCACAGGCAAGCAGGTATGTGCATCTACATTTTCATTTAAAGTGCAGACCAAAGATGTAAAATTCATCCTCTACTTTCAATAACATAAATAATAATATATGATCGACACAGAATTATACTGTACACTAAGGGGCTGTGTGTTAGGAGGAAGTCAGGTGGTGTCGTGAGTCTGTAAGATGAACACTGTTTCATCTTAGCTTGAGAATGCACAGGAACGACCGTTTCGGGCAGCCCCTCCCCCCTCTTTCAGCAAGTACAAGACTCCTGGTTTTCCTCCAGCAGATTACTGTTTCTTTGAATAGCAACAGGTGAATAAACTATAAATAGGTAAATAAACTACAAAGAGAAGCTTGTGTTAAACATGGAATCCATACCTCAGTGTGGAGAAATGCACAGATACAGAAATGTTCTTGCAAAGTGTGGGCAGATGAACCATCATGTGACTTCTCCCATCGAGTGCTTTCTCTGGGGCAAGTGGTCTTTGAAGCAGTCAGAGGGCAAGCTTGCCCTTATGTATCTGAACTGGTTCTCATTCTTTTCTAGTCACACGTTTCCTTCTCCCTACTTCTGCCATAGAATGTGCCCATGATTTGATTCTGCAGTAAAACCATCATGAGTCTCCTTTCCCTCTTTCCAGTCATTCTGCTCACCAGGAATCCTCTGAAAACTTGGCATATGTCCTTCCAGATGAAAACTACAGGTACCCCAGTTTTCTAAGGAATGAGATGGTAAACATCAGTCTTTGTTTTCAGTTCAGAAAAAGCTACACAGGTGTCAGTGAAGAGACAATCCTGAAGAGGACAGGGTTTGTGTTTGCTTTGCAGAGTTGTTTCTGTGGACCCTGTGTCTCATTCAAAAAACACGTGCGAATATTTTGTATTTACATAATGCGTTTTAACAGCATTTGTCCTGTAGAACTGCTCTAATGCAATTCCCAAAGGTAGGTGCAGGCCCAGGCCCCCAGGTAGCTTGCCAAGCCTTTAATCTGCAGGGCGGCAGCAGAGGGCCGGCCAGACACTACAAGCACCGTGTCCACACACAGGTGTCCTCACAGGACGGTCACAGAGGTACGGGGTGCATCTGCCACCTTCTCTCCAAGCACAGCTGACTCTGGCGTATGTCATGCTAGCACATAGTCACAGTCTTTTTTAATGTTCTTAGCAGCTTTATTTGTTTATTTTATTTTTTGATTTTTATTATTAGTTACATTTTATTAACCATAATCACATTCTTGTGGAAGTTCATTACACTTGATTTTTTCCTGTTCATTGAACTATATGACATTCTTGTGACGCTGTAATCTCTGATATCTTTGTAAGAGCTGTGCTTCATGTATAAATAGTATTTGGAACTGACTCTGAGTTAGGAAGCTTTCTAAATTAGGTAATGATTTATTCAAGTCTTTGATTCCAGGGTTAGTTTTGCTATTCTTTCTTTTCTTTTCCTCTCTTTCTCTGAAAGAGCCTCACTGGGTAGCCCTGCTGGCTTTGAGCACATAGAGCTCTGCCTATGCCTCCTGAGTGCTAGTTTTGGGGTCTTTTAGTTCCTTCCAATTAAGCTGTTTCTCACCCACTTTCCTTGTGCTTGCACTTTTAGTAATTGTAAGTCTTTTTTTTCTTTTAATTTTTTTAATTTATTACAGTTTATTCACTTTGTAGCCCCTTTCCTCATTCCCTCCCACCCCTGCCCTCCCTCCCTCTTCTTTCATACCCCTTCCCCAGTCCACTGTTAGGGGAAGTTCTCCTCCCCTTCCACCTGACCCTAGCCTATCAGATCTCATCAGGAGTGGCTGCAATGTCCTCCTCTGTGGCCTGGTGAGGCTACCACCCAAGGGGGAGGTGATCAAAGAGCCAGCTACTGAGTTCATGTCAGAGACAGTCCCTGTTCCTGTTACTAGGGAATCCACTTGGATACTGAGCTGCCATGGGCTACATCTGTGCAGGGCTTCTAGGTTATCTCTATGCATGGTCCTTGGTTGGAATATCAGTCTCAGAAAAGACCCCTTTGCCCAGGTTTTTTGGTTCTGTTGCTCTCTTTGTGGAGATCCTGTCTTCTCGAACTCAAGAAGTAAAACAGCAACAAATCAAGTTATCCAATTAAAAAATGGAGTACAGAGATAAACAGAATTCTCAATAGAGGAATGTCAAATGGCAGAGAAACACTTAAAGAAATGTTTAATATCCTTAGTCATCAGGGAAATGCAAATCAAATTTACCCTGAGATTTTACCTTACACCCGTCAGAATGGCTAAGATCAAAAACTCAAGTGACAATACATGCTGGAGAGGATGTGGAGAAAGGGGAACCCTCCTCCATTGCTGGTGGGAATGTAAACTTGTACAACTACTTTGGAAATCAATCTGGTGCTATCTCAGACAATTAGGAATAGTGCTACCTTAAGATTCAGCTATACCACTCCTAGGCATATATCCAGAAGATGCTCAAGTATACAATAAGGACATTTGCTCAACCATGTTTATAGAAGCTTTATTCATAATAGCCAGAATCAGGAAACAACCCATATGTCCCTCAACTGAGGAATGGAAATAGAAATTGTGGTACATTTACACAATGGAATACTACTCAGCAATTAAAAACAAGGAAATCATGAAATTTGTAGACAAATGGTGGGATCTAGAAAAGATCATCCTTAGTGAGGTATCCCAGAAGCAGAAAGACACACATGGTATATACTCACTTGTAAGAGGATATTAGACATATAATATAGGATAAACATACTAAAATCTGTACACCTGAAGAAGCTAAGCAAGGAGGACCCTGGGTAAGATGATCATCCTCACTCAGTAAGGCAAATGGGACGGATATCCGGAGAAGGAGAAAGCAGGGAATAGGACAGGAGCCTACCACAGAGGGCCTCTGAAAGACTCTACCCAGCAGGGTATTAAAGACCTGGAAGGGACATTATTATTTGTAAATTAGATTTTTGTTATTCTGTCTCCTTTGGGGTCTTTTTTCCCCTTCTGTCTTGGTCATTTGTCACTTTAGATCAGCTGGTCTGCAGCTTGTACATGGATTAGCACTGTTTTAACAGAGTGCAAAGCACTGAATTGTGGCTCTTTCTAAAACTCCATCATTTAGCGTCAAACTGGTTGCTTAATTTGCTGAGGGCTGTGTTTGCTAGTATAAAAACTTTAATTGAAGCTGGGCGTGGTGGCGTACGCCTTCGATCACAGCAGTTGGGAGGCAGAGACAGGTGGATCTCCGTGAGTTTGATGCTAGCCTGGCCTTCAAAGCAAGTTCCAGGACAGCTAGGACAGACAGTGAAACCCTGTCTTGAAAATAAATATGCAAAAAAACTAATAAAAAACAAAAACCTTAAATGAAAAATTTCTAAAGTCCTTAAAGTCATAGTTTTTATGCATTAAATAATTAAGAACTTGAGTAGTTGGCTTAGCATTTTTAGGTTCCTATAGAATGACCACATAAACCTTTTCACTGTTGATTGGTCATTGTTGAGTATATGCTATATATAAAATGTGTTGAATTACAATAAACACATATTACCATAAACACAGTAGACAGAAATCACTACCTTTGTGGAATGTACCTCCCAGTTGAGAGGAGGAAATACATCAACAAAATCCGTGAGTAAGTTGTGTGGTGCACTAGAAAGTATAATCACTGTGGAGGAACAGACCAGGGGAAGGAGGAGGAGTCGGATGTATGTGGAGCCATGTGGTTGGTGTGGGGAGAAGGCTTAATGTCAGCTGGTTAGGGAAGGTTTTCTTTCCAAGTTAGGATCCAAGAGAGATGTGTGCAGGAACCACTAGATGCCTAGGTAGCCGTATTTTATGCACAGTGACTCCTCCAGGCCATCACGGGGGTGGACAGGCAGGCAGGCTGGCGGCATGTAGGCGCCATGGACGCTGCAGTCAGATATTCACAACAGTAAAAGAGGGCTGACAGGTTTGCTGTGAGGACACAGGGTACGTATGATGTATTGACTGTTCTTGTCCATGGTTAATGAACTGGAAAGAGATGGAAGGATTCTCCTCAGGCTTTATAGGGTATCACTTGCTGCTGTGGGGAACAGACTTGAAGGGAGCAAAGACAATAAGCCACTAGGAATTGAGGTGACATCAGCCAACACAGTTTTCAGCAATAGGTAGGAGAGAGAGCGGCTGTTTTGAGAATGGAGTGGTGAGATTTACTGATGGCTCTAAATTCAGGGTTTAAGAGGGAGAAGAATCTAGTGTGACCTCATACTTTTAGTCTGAATGTCTGTGGGAGTGGAATTGCCATCAACAGATGGAGCAGGGTTGAGGTATGTTCAGTCAGACACCTACTTCCTTTGTAGGGAGAGGTGTTAGGTAGGCAGTGAGTGTGTGATCGTAGGCAGAGGTCTTGGTTAGTTGTGTGACGAGTGTGAATGGCAAGCGTCAGCACATAGAGTCTACCTGCTGCCTTGGTAAGGGTGGCATCCCGGAAGGCATTGGCTGAGATAAAGAGAAGAAGAGAGGAGAACAGGAGGAAACAGGCATGAATGTTAGTGGAAAAGCATCTCCCAATCTCCAGAGCCATTGCTCTTGTTACAGCTGGGTGGGCTTGGGGGAGGGTGTGGTGTGGCCTGTCAGGGGAAGAGTTTGGGAATACTGTTCAATATGGTGCCAGATGGCCTCCCATGACAAGGAAGGCCCTTGTCCCAAAGGTCAGGAAGGCTGTCAGAGAAAGTGGGTTACAGGGAATGCAGGAAGTGGCAGGGAAGTCGGAAAGACCCAGTGAGGCTTCACTGATCCTTAATTAAAGTAACAACAGTGAGCAAAGCTTTGGGCTTTCTCTAGTTACTATTTGTGTGTGTGTATGTGTGTATGTGTCACAGTGGGTGGTGGTGAATTAGATTAAACCAAGTTGTGCTTTTGCTGTATATGTAATTTAAAGTGAAAGAGCCAGAGTTGGACAGATACGATTCGTAATGGATCTGAAATTGGTCCAAGTGGGGTACAAGAGATGAGGAATAGGGAAAATGGGATGGTTTTTCAAGCCAGCAACAGGGTTTTTCAGTCAGCAGCCAGTTACAGAGAAGGGACTAGAATCGGACTCTTTCCTGGTTCTTCTGCCTTTGCAGAAGCCAGTTTTACTTGAGGGTTGATGGCGGTGCTTGCCAAGCGGGTGAGAGGGCGTGGCTTGGGCTGTTGCCCAGGAGCACTCGCTGTGCTTTTCTCTTCCCAAGTTGCTGAGGTTGCCCTTCCCAACTGCCTCTGTCTGCCTCTTTTATGGGTATTGTGCTTTTTCTTCACAGGGCACCTTTCATAGCCAGCAGGCCTTGGACTACGGCACCCAACTCGTGGGAGGAACCACGCCAGGGAAGGGTGGCAAGACACACCTGGGCTTACCCGTCTTTGATACTGTGAAGGAAGTAAGTAATGGTTTCTGAGAAAAAGCAAGGCAAAGACAGGCATTCAGTGGGTAGAGGTCTTAGTTTTGTGCCTTCCACGTTGCTTTCTGGATATCTAGTAACCTAGAGAAATTGGGACTGTGGTAAAATCCAGCAGTGGGTTTTCCTAAAGATGTGTATAGTTATCACATATAACTATGGGGCTGTGGCCTGGCTTCTGTCAGCAGCTGTGTGAGAAACTGTTTCGAGTGCACACTGTGAGCGGTGCTGGGTGCCTCATGCACAGTGCCCGGCCGGGCTTCCCGTACCCTCCACAGCAGGTGCCTTTACACGGAGGTCCAGGATGCTGCTGCTGCAGACCCCGAGGCTTCTGCCCTAGGTCTCCCAGCCAAGAACGGGCACTTAGAGTGTTGTGTGCCAAAGACAGTATTTAGATCTGCTTTCTTCACCAGTTGCTGTTTCTTTAAAGTGATTTTGCCCCAGAAAGTTTAAAATGTAGAAAAAGTTACAAATATGGGATTTTAGGTGAATCAGTCTTTTTTATTTTTTCCCCCTCTCAGTTTTTAGGCTTTGTAAACCAATAGTTTTGTTGAATCAGGTTATGTGTTATTCATTGTGACACAGGCAGATGGAATTTGGAGATGCTGTAAGGTCCTTGACAGATACTGTTCCTTTCCCATTCAGCTCTTACAAAGAACTTTCTGAATGAGTAAGAATAATATTGATTTTGCATTTGGCTCCCCTGTGCACAGGACTTGTTGCCTGTGTCTGGAAGTGTTTGTAGTCGTAAGATAGGAGAATTTGGGGATTTGTTTTTCAGTAAAATGTGACATGCCTATGATCTGTTGGTTCTGACCTTGATTTCCATCTTTTCCTTAGCTCCCTTTTATTATTGCTTTCCCCTGCCCCCAAGTCTTGTCATTAACCCAATACAGTCTTGAACACACGATCCTCTAATTCAGTGCTTTTAAACCTTCCTAGTGCTGCGACCCTTTAATACAGTCCCTCATGTTGTGGTGACTCCTATCCATAAAATTATTTTCGTTGCTGCTTTGTAACTGTAATTTTGCTACTGTCATGAATTGTAATATTTGTGTTTTTCCATGGTTTTAAGACTAATCCTGTGAAAGGGTCATTTGGTCCCCAAAGGAGCTATGGCCCACAGATTGAGAACTGCTGCTCTAACTGGTGTCTGAGGCCTGAGGGCTGGGATATCTGCAGGCATGTACCGCCACAACAGACCTACTGTTACATCTTTCTAACTAATAAATGACTTCTAATCCTTCACCTGATTGTAGGTAAACTGTCAGTGGGCTCTGACTTTGTTATCTGGACACTGGTGAGATGACACTGCTTATTGGGAACATAGTGGTCAAAACTCAGTCTCTGGCAGCATGAACTCATTCAGGGCGGATTCTTCAAGACACTGTCTTTTACTTGTGCTTTTTCCTCTACTTCACCTATATATTCTGCATTATAGTTTGTATAAAATCCTTTGGTACAGCCTTCCAAAAACATTTTGATTCCTGTCTTGATTACAGAGAGTGGCCTGCTGTAGCTGCAATGAGCAGATGTTTCAGAATCAGAATCCTGATATACTCAAGATTAAATATTAGCTCTGCCCCTTTCTGACTATGTGACTTTGTAGTTATTTACTATATTTTGTTTGGTGGTTTGTTTTTGAGAAAGTATGTAGCTCTGGCTGTCCGGGAACTTGCTATGTAGATTAATCTGGCCCTGAACTTAGAGATCTGTCTGCCTCTGGAGTGCTGGAATTAAAGGCATGTACTACCATATCTATGTCTTGATCCCAACATCTTCTTTTCTTTTAAAAAATTCTTTGGCAATTTCATTCACATACACAGTTAAAATATATGTATATACACATATATACACATACACAGGTGTGGGTATGTGTATATATGTTAGTCATTCTCACGCCCCATCTTTCTCACTGAATGGAGCTCTTCTTCCCCAGGAATTTCCCTCCTGCTTTGAGTCTTCATGTTTGTGACACACTTAGGTTTTTTGGAGTGGCTTGCCTGTGCCTGGTTTGGAGGCTACTTGAGCAAGGACAACTTGCCAGTGGCTATAACACTGAAGAAAATGACATCCATTCCTGCCACAAACATTAACTACTGTTAGTCCTTCGGGGAGGAGGCCTCCTGAGCCCCTCCCCCAGGCTTCAGAATCCTGATTTGTAAACTGGAATACTCTGGTTCAGGAGTCTCCGGAAACCTGGCTGATTCCCGCTCAAGTCTTCACAGGCCTGTTGTGGAATAGGTGCTGCTGCTCTTGTAATCAGAGCACTTGTTGTCTCTGTGGCTATGGGACTTCCATTAGAGTAGGAGGCATGGCCACTCAGAAAGGTGGATGGAGAGCTGGGCTTGGTGGTATACACCTTTAATCCCAGCAGAGGCAGGTGGATCTCTGTGAGTTCTGGCCAGCCTGGTCTGCATTGGGAGTTCCAGGACAGCCAGGGCTCTATAGAGAGACCCTGCCTCAGAAAAACAGCAATAACAAAATCCTGAAACAAAAGATGAGTCGAAGAATGCATATGTGCCAAGGCCACATATAGAGCAGGTTATGGCCACATAGAGAGCAGTGGTCAGAGGGACACTGTAAATGGCCATGCATTGCATGGGTGACACACGTGTAATGCTTATTTAATCCACTTCTTTGTTTGTGTATGCACTTGGTTTGATTTATTGGTTCCTATTAAGTATGCATGAAGTGAGAAATATAACGAAGGACACCCCAGTTTGGCATGGGGGACTGGCCAGCAGTGGGCTTGAGAGCACTTGCTGCTCTTGTAGAAGATCTGAGTTTGGTCACTTTCCGGCACCCACACTGGACTCCTGACAACTGCCTGTAACTCAAGTTTCAGGGGCTCCAGCGTGCTCTTCTGACCTCTGAGGGCACCTGTATGATGTCAGCGTGAGCACACATGCATACACACACACACACACACACACACACACACACACACACACACACACCATAAAGATAAATCTATAACACTACTTTTACTGTTTGTTGATGATATTTACCATAGATTTAAAACAAATGCCTGAAGGCCAGATTCTGACCACTTGGGCTCCCTGGCCTTGGGTCTTCTAAGGAGGAGCAGAGTTTGGATCCTCTTAGTGAGACTGGGAAGAAGAGTGAAGCTGTGCAGTCTCAGGGAGGAAGAGCACAGGTGCACGTCGGGCAGTGTCTGAGGTTTTCTGTCCTTTGATCGGGTGAGATGTACAGAAGCTTTTATTCACAGTGGCCTTCGGAGAGGACCGAGAAGACTGTGTCCTGAACTACAGAATGGAGGCAGTGAGGAGAGCCTGACTGTGGCCCCTTCCTAGACAATATTCCAGTTAGACTGTTAAATATATTTCCCTGTGACTCAGTCAGCTGTGATTCACGTTTCAGGCCAAGGAGAAAACAGGCGCGACAGCGTCCGTCATTTATGTCCCTCCTCCTTTTGCTGCTGCTGCCATTGATGAAGCGATTGACGCGGAAATTTCCTTGGTTGTGTGCATAACGGAAGGTATCCCACAGCAGGATATGGTACGCGTCAGGCACAAACTGACACGCCAGGGAAAGACGAGGCTAATTGGGCCAAACTGCCCCGGAATCATCAATGTGAGTGCAAAATCTGAAGGAAGCCTGTATTTAGCATTTCATGAAGTGAAATGGTCAAATTAGTTAAAATGTGTGTGTGTGTGTGTGTGTGTGTGTGTGTGTGTGTGTGTGTGTGTATGTATGTGTGTGTATCTGACTTAGGAGTTAGAATTTTTCTTTCGAACTTTTCTGAAAGCGTAATTTACTTTCCTCCAGCCTGGAGAGTGCAAAATTGGCATCATGCCTGCCCATATTCACAAGAAAGGAAAAGTAGGTGAGTAAATTTGTTCCTCTCTGATAGATTAAAAAACAAAAATTCCATTATTCTGTGCTTTCTGTGTCTGTGGTGAACACTGGCCTCTTGCTCAGCAGCTGTCTGCTCTATGCAGCTTTACAGCTGTTGTTTATCCATTTTCTTAGTGGTCATTTGGGCTATTTTCAAGTTTGAGCATTAGGAATAAGACTAAAATATAGGCCTTGCTATGGATACACTTTGATTTCTATTGGGCAAAATTGACAAGAACACAAGTTAAGTATGTTTGACTTTTAAAGAAGTTGCCAGATAGTTGTCGGAGATGACTATGCCATTTTGTATTTAGTGAGGGTAGAGTCCCAGTTACCTGTCCTCCTTCAGGGCTCTTCAGCAGACTCGTTCTTGTTCTTTTGGGGATGCATTGGCTTTTATTGTGGTGTCCATGACGGCTGAGCTTGAAGAGCACCTTCTCATGTCTTTACTCTTGATCAGGAGGCTGCACGTGGAAGAGCACGCACAGAGACAGGAGTCTGCTTGGCTTTTAGTGACTGTCCTTTCCCTACTGGCCAGGGTCAGACCTCACAGTCTTACTCAGCTGGCCAGTCTGAAAAGAATCAGCACATGGGAATTAAAGGAGGAAGAAAGGGCCACCACTCCAGGCCATCCAGTTCCTAGACTGGACTACAGCTCTGGGCCTGTGTGTAAACCAAGGTTTTCCTGGGTGGGCAGGATTAAACATAAAAACATTTTCAAGGTGGGAAAGATAAAAGGACTTTAATTCTTTGTCCTAAACACAAAGTTTATTAGATTTGTTTGAAAGGATTCATATCTGACATTTCCTATGTATCCCTCTCCTTCCTTCCTTCCTTCCTTCCTTCCTTCCTTCCTTCCTTCCTTCCTTCCTTCCTTCCTTCCTTCCTTCCTTTCTTTTCCAAGACAGAGTTTCTCTGTGTAGCCTTCGTTGTCTGGGGGCACACTCTGTAGACCAGGCTGGCCTCAAACTCACAGAGATCTGCTTGCTTCTACCTCCTAAGACTTACTTTGCTTGCATGGATGTAACAGACTTTCTCAAAATGCCTTGGGAAAACTGTACTGTTACTTAGTTGGTCCCTGAAGGAAATGGCCAATCAACATATCAAAGTTAGTTGCGCTAGGCTTCAATCTGGACTCTCAGCTATACTGTTTCTCCATAGTAATAGTTGGTGACAGTGTTGACTGATCTCTACCTATGGCCATAACTATTAATGCTAAGTTAAACATCACAACCTAATTCTGCAGACTACATCATCAATGATGTCCTATTGTGATAATTGTGTTTACTTAGCATTAATAGTTATGGCTGTAGGTAGAGATGGTTGGCTGATGGTCATGGCTAGCTGAGGTCATGGTTAGCTGATGGTTGTGGTTTTTGTTTTAGTCAGACAAGAATTCTCCTAGCCCTAGTAGGAGTGTGTGACTGTTTGGACAAAGTCTTATGCAGGAGATTCAGAACAGCAACCCATGGATATGTCCAAGCTCTTCAAGCTTCAGAGTAATGCTCTGAATGTTTTAGTTAACTTAAAATTTTGATATTTTGTAACAACTAAAGTTAGTTATTCTTGTATGGAATTAGGAATCTCTGTTCTGCATGGTAGATCTGTAAAGTAAGTACTGCATGGATTGCTGCATGGGACTAGTTGTCTTTGGGCAGCACAGGGGAGCATAGGCGAGCCTGATGAGCTGCTGTTCTTTTCCCATAGACCTTGGTTATGAAGTTAGGCATTCTTAACACAGGTTTGATGCAATAAGGAAGTTAGGTGGGAGACTGGCTGAATCCAGAGGAAATGTGCCTATATGGTGTGAAAATTCTTGGAAAAATAGCTGTGGGGAGGGTAGATAGTGTTTCTAAATATAATTAATGCTGTTTTTATGGTTTAGTGATAGAGTACCTAAAGCCAATTCGTTTCACTGCCCTAAGCAGGATTATGTCTACCAAGTTTATATTAATATTATCCTCTCCATAAAAATTCTCAGAAGAGGGATTTTAAGGTTTTCTTGTTTATTTGTCTTGGCATTAGTTTCAGAGTCAGAAAACAACCCTAACTAATGCCATCCTTCCTTTTTTGTCTTCATCATTTGGAGATAGTGTTGATCTCGGTGGCAAAGCATGACATGACTTTGTTTACCCCATTACCGTCTGGCAGTGCGCCATCCCCACTCTGACAGTCTCGCTCTTCCTTTTAAGGCATTATATCCAGATCCGGCACGCTGACCTACGAAGCAGTTCACCAGACAACCCAAGTTGGACTGGGGCAGTCCTTGTGTATTGGTGAGTGCTTTGGCTCGGTAGAGGGTCAGCCTCGAGGAAGGCAAAGGACATTGATTTATATTCCCTTGGAATGGAGAGAAAGAACATTGGAGACCTTGGATGGAGGTCAAGTCAAATGTGGCCTTGTGACCTATGGCCTGAATTCTCTCCACTCAGCAAGAGGCCAACATGTCAGCGACAGGGAGGGGTGAGGCCTGGGGTAGAGGGTTCAAAGTAGAAATGTAGAGAACAGCATTGTAGGAAGCAGGGAACAGGATGAGCTCAGAAGCTTGTCCCGTGCCAAGGACATCAGGTGGTTGATAAATAGGCTTTGATACCATTTTAGTAGGAAAATATTATGATCTCATGTTTAGTTTGCTGAAGTGGCGCTTTCTGTGTTTCTCAAGAGGACTCTAGGTTGAGGAGTGCACAGTATAGGACAGGCGCCTGTGGCATGGGCATTGTGCCGAAAGCATCACTTACTTCACATGCTGTGAAGAAATGGCTCTTATATTTGGCATTCTGTTACCACACTTATGTTCTGTGCTTTAGTCACTGAATCCTTTGTCTCACCACCTCTCTCTGGGAGCCCCGGCGCACGTCTGAGCTGAGGCTGCGGTGTGCAGCTCACTGGGCAGAAAGTCAGGGCTGAGGATGGTAACGTGCCGTAGGGCTTCTCTGTGTGCCACACAAGACTGTCTTGACACTTTAAAAAGTCAGAGCAGGGTTTACATTTTGAATTTACCTGACTTTTTGTTCTTTTTTTGCCAAAAACTAGACAAGCTTCTTATTTTTAAATTTTCAAATCCTCAAAATACCACTTAAAAGCCTTTCAAAAATATCTCTTTATAATAAAAAATAATAGAATAGAGCCCTGGAATATTCTTATTACCACCTAAACAAGTAAACTCAAATTGACAACATGAATTGAGCCCTTCTATTTTCAGGACACAATGTTAGGCATAAGATCATGGCATGATGGGGAATCAGAACTGGTTCTGAAATAGACTTGTCAATTCCATCTTCTTGAAGCTCAGTTCTTCCCTTGTAAATGGAGGGAAATGACGCCATTTCACAGAGCTTGGGGATTCACCAGTGGCTGGTAAAAGCAGACAACAGGAGTTGACACCTAGGAGCCACCTAATCAGTAATGTTTCCTTTTCTCACCCTCATTGCGCAAAGCATTGCTATCCTCAATAAGTTTATAACTTAAAAAATAAAACATTGGCAGGCAGAGAGTAGGGAACATTTGTTTGATTGCTATCCAAGTTCTCATTCTTAAATGTCATGTAATCAGAGCAGAGCCTTGGTGCAGGCTCTGCCATTTCCCAGCTGGAATCTACAGGAAGATGGCAAGGGAACCTTTCACCCTGTTGCTCACTGATAGTGTGTCTTCAAACTTAGGAGTTTTTCCGCAGCACACTTGTAAAGAATTTCTCTGTGTGAAGAAATGTGTTCATTGTTAAGCTTTTCCTATGCTGTATGTAAAGCAAATAGCTCTGTCTTTCTGAGCATTGTTTTCAAGTTTGTTAAGGACACACTGAAAGAAATAGAAGCAAGAACAAGTGTTAAGACACACTCATTCCCTAAACACCCATTTTCTTTCAAGGCATGCTTCTAAGTGTGAAATGGTATTATGGGTTATGTAGAGAGGACTGGTTTTGTAAAGATGGGCAACTAATCACCATTTCCATGCATGTGGTATTGTAAAAAGAAACAGGTATCATTTTGTTATTTTTGGGTGTTGAAAAGTGATGCTCCATCTGAAAATATTGAAGGGGTATACAGAATAAAAACTAAGAATATTTCTTAATATAAATTCCTTGGTTCATCTGTACATTTTTTATTGACCTTCTCAGGCATTGGAGGTGACCCTTTTAATGGGACAAATTTTATTGATTGCCTTGAAGTCTTCCTGAATGATCCTGCCACAGAAGGTATTGTACTGATTGGTGAAATTGGTGGTCATGCTGAAGAACATGCTTCTGAATTTCTGAAGGAACACAATTCAGTAAGTCTGTGTTTGGAAGACTATAGCTCTCTGCTCCTGACTGACACTGGGGCTTGTTTTAGAAATTACCCTTCTTTTTTTAAATGGATTAATTTTTCAAGAAAACATGAAAGCTAACTTTAAACCTAGTATTTTTATTCTGTCACACATCGAATTCTAGCTTCGAGCTCATCCTGTTTCCTGCTTCCTACAATGCTGTTCTCTACATTTCTACTTTGAACCCTCTACCCCAGGCCTCACCCCTCACTGTCACTAACGTGTTAGCCTCTTCCCAAGTGGAGAGAATTCAGGCCATAGGCCACAAGCCCTCACTTGACTTGACCTACATCCGAGGCCCTGGTGTTCTTTTTCTCCATTCCAAGGGAATATAAATGAATGTCCTTTGTCTTTCTCAAGGCTGACCCTCTACAGAGCTTTTCTTTTAATCCTTCTCTGTGCTTTTGCCTCCTCCTAAGCTAGAAAGCCCTCTACACCAAAGATCAAGTAGAAAGCTTTCTGTATGCTCCAGGGGAAGTTTTCCTGTTGCCTGTGCCTTAGAGTTAAATATGTGACAGAGCAGTGTGCTGTTGTATTGCCATGCCATTTAGCTAAGGGGACCAAGCTCCTTTGTTGGGCTTTGTTAAGTCACAGGGGTGAGGGAGGAGAGGCCCCAATGCTGGAAGCAGGCTGTTGTGTAGGTCACCCTGGCTGTGCCCTGGTAAATGTGACTGAGAGCTGTGGGCATAAGACCTCAAGTGTGCCTTCACTGCTAATGAGTGGTGTGAAGTGGTCTTCAGGAGGCCAGGCAAAAGGGGACATGGGGACTGGAGAGGCAGCTCAGAGGTTAAGAGCACTTGCTGCTCTTGCAGAGGACCCACATGGTGGCTTACAATCATCTGCAAATTTAGGTCTAGGGGATCTGGTACCCTCCTCTGGTCTCCACAGGTACAAGACACATAATTAGTGAACATGTATACATGCAGGCAAAACACTTATACTAAAAATAAAAGAGGGGGATAACCCCCCTTGCTTGTGAGAGAAACAACATTCTGAGGAGTGAATGAATGAAAAGCCAGACAATAACAACAACAACGCCCTGAGCGAATGAATGAAGTGCCAGAAGACAAATAGAGAATATGGCAGTGTTAAAGGAGCCAGTAAGGTCAACTGTAAGCCTGGTGCACAGTGTTCTTCACTTGTTTGTGCTTTCAGGAGCTTTCAAGGGCTGCTTTTAGTGTTCTTGATCTTCTGTGGAGGTCTGCAGTGCCATGAAGTTATAAGCTGACAACAGCTATCCCCTCACTTCTGCGTCTCTTTCCTTATCCTTCACACCCTAACGACCCCACGCCACCCTGTTTCTTGTTTTGTTTCTGTTGAGAACATTCCTTAGCTTTGCTGTTTTGGTTCTTTCATTGCCACAGCGTGCTGGAGTGTGTGTGAGGGCTAGAGTCTGAATGATGCTGTAACAGGGAAGCAGTGTCAGTGAACCCAGCTGTCACTGTTCTGAGGTTTCACTGAGCTGTCACTGTAGAGGGGGCCTCGTAGACCTCACACTTCCTGTGACATCCTGTGGGGCTTTTCATAGTTGCCTCCTTGTTCCTCCTCCCCGGTCTGTTTCCTGTATCTGTTCTTAACTGTGTGATTATGTTACCTGCTCCCATCTACGGCAGACACTTCAGAGCTGTTTTCACTTTTCTCACACTCCGTGTCCACTCAGTGACAGGTCCAGATTCAGAGCTCTCACCCACAGTTCCCCATGCCCTTCTGCAGTGTGCCTCATCTTGCTCACTTGGGCTGTCCCAGTCATGCCCTCCCTGATGTCTTCACTCCTTCCCAGCCACTAGTTTCTTCCCCAGCACCTGGTGCCTTTGTCTCTAGGAAAAGCAATCAGGGTTTTCACTGCCTGTGTTACACTTTGGATGTGAAGGGTCCCTTTAAGCTCAAATGTGGAGGGCGTGGTCCCTGCTGGGTAGCACTGTAAAGATTCTGAAACTTTAGAAGAGGGGCCTAGGTAGAGGAAGCAGGCCAGTAGAGGCAAGTCCTTGTGGTGTTAACTAGCGCTGCTCCTTCTCCATGCTCTCTCTGTTTCCTGGACACAGAGATGTCAGCAGACTGCACATTGTAGACCAAATGAACCTTCTGAAACAGGGAGTGAAAATTAATCTGTCTGTCGTTTAAGTTGTCCAGTGAAGTGTGGACGTGTGAGTGAAGGCCCACTTGGCACGTGTTCTAGTTACTGGCTGTTACCTCCTTAGATCCGTGCTCCATTAATGTGCCAGGTTGCTGCTTGTCTCCTTGCATAGCCCATACAAAGCATTGATGAGTGCTGATAAATGAGGAGGATAGATTGTTGGTGGCTGCCTTTTTTTTGTTTTAAATCACTTTTATTTCATGTGCAATGGTGTTTGTCTGCATGTATGTCTGTGTGAGGGGGTCAGAAGGCCTGGACCTGGAGTTGCAGACTGTGTGAGCGGCCATGTGTGTGTGAATCCTCAGGTCCTCTGGAAGAGCAGCCGGTGCTCTTAACCTCTGAGCCGTTTTTCCACCCCACTGTTTTTAAGTTCAGAAAAGTTTTTAAGTTTAAGTGAAAACGGATTTCTCCTTAGAAAAAGATCAGATACTGTGTTACACTGTCAAATTGAATATTAAAGTGTATTAGGGTCCAACTCTGAGTTCCTTGAATAGTTTCACAAGTTTAGTGGGAAAACATGCACATTTGTTTCATTTATTATTTCTGGTTGGGTTTTACAGAGCAACTTATGTTTTTTATTTTATTTTGAGACCTGGTATGTACATGGTTCAGAGTTAAGCAGCTTAAAACAAAGATCACCCTGAGTGAGGGATCCCAGGAGCAGAAAGACACACATGGTATATACACACTTATAAGTAGATATTAGACATATAGTATAGGACAAACATACTAAAATCTGGACAAAGTGTTACATAAAAGGGACAACAGTGCCTGGCGAGGAGTAAACAGTCAGTAGTGTGTGCTGAAGGCCGAAGCAGGCAGGTGGTGAAGGACGTGGCAGTCATCCTGTGTACCGAGTGCACTGAGTCTCACAGCCAGTCCTTGTGTGTAGGCCTCTCGCATCTCTTATCACTCTCTGTCCTGTTTTCTTACCACACTTCCCTGCTGTCGGATTCTAGTTTTCTCCACTGAAGAAATCTCCACTGGCTCTTTCTTTGACATTCTAAGCTTGTAATCCTTTCCTTCCTAGTACAGCAGCATTGCCATTTAGGAGCATTAGGGAACAGATGGATAGATGTTAACACCATTCAAGTAGGAGACTCATAGTCTGCAGAAACCACTTGTGAGTGAATGAATGGCTGGAGCCTGTTTGCTTTTCATTCTGTTTCTGAGGCACTGAAGCAGTTTTGGGCTTAGGGAACTGGGGAGACTGTTCAGGGAGCTCATTGCTTAGTAGGAGGACATGGGGAGCCGAGCACACCCAGTGTGCTGTGTGAGAGAGAGAGACACATGCAAGGGGCAGAGCAGGGCCACATAAGCCAGGCACCTGGGAGATGTGGGAGGAAGAGTTGGGCTTCTTTCGCGAGGGGAGTAGTGAGGCAGTCTTAGGTGAAAAAGCTGTGTGTCTGTAAGGAAGGCGAGGAGTGCTTTGAGTCAAGTGTGGAGAAGTCAGTAGTAGTGTTCCTCTAGAGCGTGGAAGAGCCGTGGGGACCAGCACAGGCCAGCGACATCAGACCTGCAGAGCCCGCTGGAGTCACAGCAGTGGGCTAGCTCAGCTGTCTGTGGGTAAAAACAAAGTCAGTTTTACTTAAGAGTGCTCCTGGTGAGCAAAAGAGGATTGTGAGCCTTGTGATGGACGGAGAACACTCTTACGCTGCTTCTGGCAAACACTAACCACTTGGAAGAACAACTGGCAGACAGACTGGTTCTTTGGACTTGGGTGTCTGGCAGAACTTCTTCAGAATGCAGTACAAAAGCTGGCCAAATCAGAAAACCACTGCTGCTACTTGTTGCTAATGATAACATTTGAGCTTTCTAGTGAATGGTTTAGAAAATGCTTTCTGCCACCATGAGCTTAGGACCTTCTGTTTTCTGTAAAAGACTTTTGATGAGATCGATGCTGGTAGTGATGGTGGCCTGTGCTTGTTGGCACTGAATGGTGAAATAGAAGCATTTGGAACAACCTTGGGGTCATGACCCATCTGGCAAACCTCTATCTCCAAAAATATTTACATTGCAATTCATAACAGTAGCAAAATTACAGTTACGAAATAGCAATAAAAATTTTTTATGGTTGGGGTCACCACAACATTAGGAACTGTATTGAAGGGTTGCAGTCTTAGGAAGGTTGAGAACTACTGATTTGGAAGATGTGTATACCCAAAGAACTTATATTTTCCAATTTAACAGTCTGTGTTGCAAAACCACTATGGATCAAAGAATCATTGAGACACTAAGACATGAGGGGATTTCAGGACAGAGGACAGAAGTTCTTTGCTGTTGCCCAGTTTGCAGCATTGCATGTGACCTTTGAGAAGTGACCGCTTGAGGAGGCTTGTATAGTATCAGAGAGTATTCACAGACATCCTGGCGGCAGTTAAAACATGTCATTCTTTTCTGTCTGTCTGTCTGAGGCTGGATTTTCTTCTTGTACTTTAGCTAAATGAGCTTTCACAACAAGCCAGTTGCAAAAGCAATTGATTAATTTAAACAGCCAGAGTGGTAGAAATTAGTTGTAAATTCCACTTGTTTCACCAGCATGTTTTGGACACTATTTTAAAAGTTTGTTTTAACGTGAATTCACAAATATTTATAGAAGTTGGTTTTCTATTTTGTGGGTGTGGGTGCAGCTGTGCCCCACATGTTGCAACATTCATGTGGATCCACTGGTCAGCTTTATGGAGTCTCCTCCCCCTTTAGATGGGCTCCAGGGACTGAACTCACATCACCAGGCCTGCAGGGCAAGTGCCTTCGTTGGCTGAGCCGTTTCACTGGCCCTCAGTTTTAATTTTTACTATAGTGTTATTAGATATCACTACTTAGAATAGATAGCTTAGAATTTAATGCCATGGCATTGATACACACAGAGGTTGTATATTTGAATGGACCTGCTCTCCCTGCATTCATTGTGAAACCTAACCATCTATAGTCAGTGTGTTGCTGAGTGGCATCTCATGATGGATTGATATGTAAACATTTGATAATATCTGATAATATTTCTTGAACTACAGTGCAAGCCCAGAGTTTAGAAACAACTTAGAAGTTTCCTTTGTGTGAACTTTTAAAAAATTTAATGTCAAAATCTAGTAAAATGATAGTTATGTAAATGAGTCTGTGTGCTAGAATTTTTGTTTAATAAAGTCAACCTTAATCATCTTTCTTAGAGTGTAGAATTTTAGAGTGGTGAGAATTAGTGCCTTCTCCATTTCATTTCATATAAGGAAGTCCAGGTCTATACATTAGTAATGTGCCTGTCCACGGACATGCAGTCTTAGTAGGACATTGTGTCTTGTCACTCCTCATCTTTTTCTTTGAGGTCATTTATTAAGGATGAGAATGATAACAACTCCAGATGTGAAGCTGGGTAGTAAAACAAGCCAACTGATTGGTCTTGAGTCTTGCGTTATTGTCACAGGTCACAAAACTCAGTTTTCAGGTGGGTGTGTTTTTTTAGTTATCAAAGGAAGGGTTCAGGTGGGTATCTGTGGAACAGCTTATGGCGTGGTGCTGGTACTCAGCTGGTAAAAGGCTTTGCCTAGTAACTTCTGTGTTGTTGCGGAAGGCTGAGTCTCTTGGGGGAGAATATCAGTCTCTGGATTGAGTGGTGGATTTTCCCTTCCCAAGCCACTTAATGCTTGCAGAAGTTCCAGATTGGAAGTTCAGTTTGACTGGTTTACTCTTCAACTATTTACACTCTCTCTTTTCAGGGTCCAAATGCCAAGCCTGTAGTGGCCTTCATTGCTGGTATAACTGCTCCTCCTGGCAGAAGGATGGGCCACGCAGGGGCAATTATTGCTGGAGGAAAAGGTGGTGCCAAAGAGAAGATCGCCGCTCTTCAGAGTGCAGGTGTTGTTGTCAGCATGTCTCCTGCACAGCTGGGCTCCACCATGTATAAGGTGAGTACACAGTGGCTGGGTTCCTTCTCTCTCCTCAGCCTGCTGTTCTGATGCCGTGATGGAAAACCTTCCTGAGGCAAACATGTAGACCTTTGCTTTATTGTCATTGACGAGGCATGGTGTGCAAAGCATTTCAGAGGCCATGGGTGCCCTGATCTTTAGCCAGGGATGTGGAAGGGTTGTAGCCTTGTGTTTGGTGTTTGGTGCTTTCCAGGAGAGCTCTTGGGATGTAGCCATTCTGACCCCACAGTTGCCTGCTTCCAGAGGGAGGGGCTGCAATTCATTAAAGCAAACAGTAAAGAGGTGCTGGGGTTGGGCCTGAGGAAGGCGGGGCTGTGTGAGGGAGGCGGGGCTGTGTGGGGAAGGCGGGGCTGTGTGAGGAAGGCGGGGCTGTGTGGTGCCCTCCAGTGACTCACAGGTTAGAGGAGCTCATTTCGGCTGAGTGTTTGCTTCTCTCTTCTAGTAGGATACTGTGGTGCACCTCAGTTGATCTGCTCTGGTAGTCCCAGCAGTGATTCCAGAATGTCTTCTTGAATCTCAGACTGTCCCCCTGTCATTTACTGTTTTCCTCTTTATTAGAGTTTTAACCTTGAAAAAGCAAAACAAAAGGTGTATAAGACAACAGCTCATGATGACATTTGTCTCTTAACAACAGAACCCTGTGTCTTAAGCTGAAAATAGGCACAAATTATTTTCCTAGAAGGGAACAGTTTCCAGATAATTCAAGAGTTCTGCTTTGATGTGAACCCTGCCCTCGTTTTAGGGACTCTAAACCCTTATTTATCAAGTCTTTGTGTATCTTGCTTTTGAGTATCATAATTCTTAGTGGTTGAAAGAAGAGTGGAAGATTAGTAAAGTCTGAGCAAGGTGTTTGGAATGCCTTTGTAAGCCTTCCCACTTTGCTCCAGCAGGTGGCAGCCCCACTAACCTTGTTCCTTCTGTCTGGGGCGTTTGTTTGTTTCAGGGATTTCTAAGTTAAGGTTCTTGACGTTTTGTTCAAATTCTAACTAAATCAGTGTTGGATTTTATTCTCTGAGAAAGTCTTCATTGCCTTACTAAAGGGCCTGTTGAATTCGAATGCACAACCTTACAGGTTCTGATAAACAGTGACACCCACAGCAGCAGCAATTCTGCCGTGAATATGCAAGGATTGGTAAAGCCTCCCTGTTGGCTTTGGGGTTTAAAGGGAAAAGTCAAGCTCTGCTTGTTGCTTAGACTGGTGCTGGCAAAGGCTGATTTGAAAATAGCTACTTTTTGCACAAGATTCCTGTTCCTGTGCATTTACCTCTGCAGAGCTGAGGTATTAGAGGAGATGGTTTGACAATCCCTTTCCCATGAGTGTAATTTGCATTTTTCTTCTCTCCTGTTTGTGAAGGAATTTGAAAAGAGGAAGATGCTGTGAAGAACACAACAAGTTCTTTAAAGCTGTGGGAGAAATCTCATAGACATGAGAGCCAGTCCAGACTGTCAGCTACACGTCTGACACTGGCCTCTCGGTACATGGGAAATCCAGGCAAGTTTCAAAATGTTCTAAATTGAGCTATTTTCACTTACTATGTAACAGAGACAGATAATAAAGCTATCATTTGATTTGAACATGCTTGTGGAGACTTTTCATTGTTTTGGTGATGGTAGTGGGAGGTGATGGGCTGGGGAGATAGAAGGGTGTGTGTGCGCATGCACGCGTGTGCGTGCAAACAAATGCTCTGTGGAGAACATCCCAAACTTTTAGCTGAATGAGACTGTACCAACTCTGTACGACGCTTGTCTATTCTAGACATAGACCTTAGGCCTTTGACTCATAGTTAGGTCATATGTATATGTAAGTCTTCACGTCCAGTTCCCCAGGGAGTAGGAGATAAATGTATAAAGTCCCTGGCATGTAGGCATGCAATTTGTCTTCCTCAGAACCTTTCCCATCACCGCCTCCACCATTGGAGACTGGAAGCTCTTGCACTTCGGAATGGAGAGTGCTTATTAAAGTGCTTCACCCTGGCTGGGCACAGGGCCGCCTCCTCTCCTTCTAGAGCCTCGTCCCACCTTGAGGTTTGGACATTCGCTACAAGAAGCAAGAAAGCCATTGGCTATGCAGCCTTGTGTTTAAAAAAGCTTGTTAGCTGGAAATTCCACTGGGAATTTGTCTTTAAATATGACATGCCCAATCCTAACTAACGTTCTGGCGTGGGAAAAGACAAACTCTTCTCAAGTTGGGTAACCACCCTGAAAATAAGCAGTAACTTAAAAAGTTGGGAGAAGCTCATGAAGGCAGGTAGGCTAGGGGCACTCTTCCTAGACAGGGTACCTAGAAGCTGGAAAGGGAAGGCAAGCACCCCGGGGGTGAGGGAAGCTGGTTGTACAAGGGCAGGAAGGAGTGCCGATTTGGAGGTGTTTGGGAAGCAAGGGTACTATGATCTGAGCGCATGTGACTGCCTGGGCTGCTGCTGAGGGCACAGAGCCTGTGAAGACCATGGGAGTCTCCCCAGGCCTAGTGGATGTGCTGTGAACAGCTGTGGAGTATGGTAGGTCATTCCTTTAGGCATGAGTTTCATCACCTTGAACATGGACAGTGACTCATTGCATGGGACAGCTGTTAGAATGAATGACACAGTGTAGGCTGAAACAGGCGTGCTCTATAGCCCTGGCAGGTTCCAACACTGACAGTATTGCCCAGGCTGGTGTACGGCTAGTGTCAGACCTCCTGCCTTAGTGCTGTGAGTTCTGGGATTACAAGGAATCGCTCCGATACCCAGCCTTAATAGTGTCTTTTAATGAGCTAAAGTTTTAAATAAAAAGCAAGAATCTTTTTCTTTTTTTAACTGATTTTTCATCTTGAGTACTGTGTTTCTGTACCATGTTCACAGTAATAGTCTTGCTTTCTCAAAAATCTTATAATTTAAAAGCCTATACATTTAGCACACATCACTCTTAGGCTGATGTGTCCGAATAGCATGAGGTAGAAGCCAACACTGACTTATTCTTTATAGTTCCTTGCCTGGCCTGGTGTTGACAGCTCTGGCCTCCTTCTTGGCACATCTTGACTATTCCTTATCTCTCAGTGGACGTCCCCAACCCCAAATAGACTGCAGTCTCATCTTGAGCTCTCCATAACTCACCCTTTATTTTCATTGTTAAAGATAGATTTTTAATAATGTGTATGTGTGGATATTTGCATTTGAGTGCAAGATGCCCACAGAGGCAGAAGAGGGCATCTGATCAGCCGGACTGGAGTTATAGGCAGCTGTGAGCTGCCTACAGGCTCCCACAACTCATTTTTTTTCTTTTAACTTTTTTTTTTTTAATTACACATCATGCAATCCCACTGATTTCCCAGTCCTTCCATATTCACTCTCCGACCTTTAACCTCCTGCTCCAAAATAAAAAAACTTAAAAAAATAACAACCGTTGCTGACTCCTCTGGCTATAATCTGAGCGCATCCACTCTGTCATTTGAAGCTGTCTCTCACACCCATCACAGCTGTTGTGTCTCCAGTTTTGCTGCTCATGTACCATTCCACTCCTCTGCGTTTTCCACTTCTCTGTCACATACTTACTCATCATAGTGGCATTAGAAGCCATGGTGTGTCACGCAGTATACCCAAACAGTTTTTGCCCAAACAGCTTTACTTACAAAAGTTCATTGCAATGAATCGTTGGTCTGGTTCAAGGCATCTGGCTTGTGCTATACATCAATCCTGGACCCTTACTCAGACTTCTCTTGTATATTCTGCTGTTGCCCTAAGTTATGGAGATCCTGTGGCTTCGGTTTTGAAGGCCTGGCACTTCTCATCCAGCAGCTCATAGACAAGGTAGATGTTGGGGTGGGCTAACTCAAAGCCCTGAATTTTAGCGTGGGTGGTAGCTGAGTTGGTCAGCCTGCCAGCTCTCCCATGTCCTTGCACTGAGGCCAGCTTTCCCTTGACCTGTGCCACCAGGGCCAGTGTTAGGGCCTGAGAATCTTTTGAAGAAAGACCCCAGACTCAGTAAGCAAAAGCAAAGAACATTTATCCTGCAGAAACTTCCAGCATGCAGGGGCCACCACATTTGAAACATGGTGTCCCAGAAGCAGGCACACAGGCTCAGTTTAAAGGCAGTTAGGGATTTCCTAGTGTGGTGAGGTAACCTTGACATTGATTGGTTAGTGACGATCTAAGGGGCAGCTGGGCGGGGGTACCCATGATTGGATGTGCCTAGGGAATTTCCAGGGCAGGGATTGAGCCATTGTCAGTATGTCAAGCTTGAGCTGATTGGCTGCCCATAGTCAGGCCAGATGTTGAAGTTCAGACTAATTGGTTGCCCTTGGTTAGGGGTTTTTCCAGGGACTTTCCAGGAACTGTCAGAGAAACAGAAAGTCATGCCTGGTTCGGGCTGAGTTCAAATGAAGCCTGTCATGGAGTCAGGTTAGCTAAGGAGCCTAGCCAGATCGGAGCCTAGCCGTGTGGGATTCTGTAATTAGAGCTCCTCACTAGCTCTCCTGCACTGCCCAGGTGAGGGGTGGGTCCAGCTCATCATGGCCCTCATATGTCAACATGGCTTCAGGTGGCAGGCTAGACCACAGCCATCCGCATGGCCTTTGGTGGTAACACAGATCCAGGCTGCAATAGGGCCGTGGACCCAGGAGATCAGCATGGTCTCAGGTGGCAGCAGAGGCCTACAGCAGGCTGTTCCTCACTGCCATTGCGTCTCCAGTTCTGCTTCTCTTCATATAGCACAAAGCCAATCTGCTTCTCGGTCTCTTCCATCTCTCCACTACATACTTGCTCTTTGTAATGGTACCTAACTGCCCACACCTCAAGACAGTGGGGAGGCCTTTGCTACCAGTATCATTCTTGATACTGGTTGTGTGGTAGATTTTCCAAGAGAAACAATAGGATGTGCTCAAGGTAACAGTGGGCTCAGCTATACCTTTCCTTGGTCACACCGGAGTCCCAGAGGGGTCCTGACCAGGAAACTCTATCCTCCGGGCTTGCCACAGTGTTGAGGGGCTTCCCCTCCTCAACCCAAACTTCCAGTATGAGAAGCTCAGTGTCTTCCCCCTGCTCCAGCTGCTGCCAGCTCAGAAAATCACACTTTTATTTAAGTGCAGCTCTTACTGTGCCTTAGCTCCAGTTCCTCAGGGAGTCCTGGTCTTCAAGATGAAACACATCAAAAGTCTTTGACAATGTCTACTGTCACTGTCACAGGATCCCCTTGTCCTGCCTCCCTGCCTCATACCTTTTCTTTATTGTTACATCCTCACACCAGCACACCCGTGCCAGCTGCTGTGTCTCAGAGTTTGATTAAAGTCTGACCCTACCCGCCTACTAACTAGAGACCGCACAGGTAAGGGGAGCCATCACATGAGGTGCTCCCACTTCATACACCAGCTGCAAATCCTGGCATCACCATGCCACCCATGCTTAGCTTGGTTTTAGGGCAAGAATTTCTGTAACTCCCTGCAGACTAATTTGCTGGGATGACTCAACTCTGAAAGCAACAGTGCTTATGACCTCAGTTTCATCAGCCAAGTAGAAGAGAGGACTACATCAAGGTCACGAGGGTAGGATGAAGGAGCCTCTGCCCCATGAAGATGGCGCACACTCCTGGTGCTTCAATATTTGTACTGAGATGCCAGAACGGCGTAGACTTTTCTCTCAGAAAAAGAGAAGGCTGAGAATAGGATTCCTATGTATCTAGCCCTTTAGGAGTTGGAGGCAAGTGGATCAGGAGTTCAAGATCATTCTCAGCTATATAGCCTGGGCTGCATGAGACATGTTTCAGAGATATAAGAGGTTTGGGAGGGGAGGAAATGAGTAAATGTACTAAAAGTTTATCTGGAAATGTCAGTTTTCAGCTCTGGTTTCTTGTTTTGGGTCTGGTGATTCTGGGCTCCAGGGTTACAGTACAAGTCTTCTCGGAGGAATTTGTATTTAACAGTGATCTCTTGGAGAAGGAGAGATGTACCTGGGAATTACAGAGGTTGACATGTTCCTGTGCCCTCCTCTATCAAGTCATTCAGGCCACTTAAAAAAAAGAGAGGCTTTGATTTTATGACCCAGTTTGTTTATTTGGATTCCCGTGTTCTCACCTGGTTGTGAATCTTCTATTAGAATTCTCTCTCCTGGGTAGATCATTAATTAGGATGTTATCTCTCACATGGTTGAATGTTGGTTGCCCTTTGAACTTTGCTTTGGGAGCCGCTTTAGTTTGCAGCTCCCTGAGTTGCCATGGTAGGTATCTAACAGATGGTATGCTTAAATAAGAAGACCTTCAAGTCAGCAACTGTGGCCTTTCATACCTTTAGACCTTAATCAACAAGTGATATGAGCTGTTCATGGAGCTGGTGAGGCCAGTGCTGTGTGATGTCACAGGAAGGAGTGATGACCTGCACAGAGGAACACAACTCCTGCCCAGGAAAAACCCAGACATGGAGGGAGGAGAATGCATACCCTGACTAACCCACCCTTCTATTGTAGCTCTTGATTCAGAGGGCTGGCTGAACCCTACTAGAAGGCAGAGAATTACAGGCAGGTGAGATGATACCGTGCGTAGGGCAGTTTCTCAGGGGCACAGCACCCTGGCAAAGGTGGGAAAAAATCGGTTCAGATAACCAATTAGAA